CACTGCAGACAAGGCCTTTCCTTAGCATATTTGTCTTAGATGTTCTGTCTCCGTGCCTTCCCACTTGCTCATGGAGGAGGGGCTGCAAAGAGGGTAAGGAATCCGTGTTCTCAGGGTTGCGGCTTGGAGCCCCTGGAAGGAAATTCTAGGGTGTTCAGACTAAAGATTCACGGATGCTTACATGGTATCTATGGTAACTCCATGTTGGACCACACTGGCCCCCATCATGAAGTGTGATGTGCTGGCTGTTCATACTTTTATCTCCTCAAAATGTTGAGGGTTGCATTAGCTGAGTCAGTAAGAATTCAGGAGAAAAGTCACAGCTGGAGAGAGTCGCAGGAAGACAGTGACGAAGCCGGATTCCCCTGGGTGGGAATCGGCGGTGACAGGGACTGGGGCTGGTGAAACCGGCCCCACATAACCCCCTGGGTATTACTTTGATTGCTGAACTTGTAATAAATGCATAATGGGCTTCCCTGAAAGCTCAGCTGATAAAAAATCTGCCTGCAATGCAGGAGACCCTGGTTCCATCCTGGGTCGGGAAGATCTGCTGGAGAAGGGATAGGCTACCCACTGCAGTATTCTTGGGCTTCCCTTGTGGCTCAGCTGGTAAAGAATTTGCCTAAAATGTGGGAGACCTGGGTTCAATGCCTGGGTTGGGAAGATCCCCTGGAGAAGGGAAAGGCTACCCACTCCAGTTTTCTGGCCTGGAGAATTCCACGGACTGTACAGTCCATGGGGTCACAAAGAGTTGGTCATGACTGAGCAACTGTCACTTTCTTTCAAAGGTTTTTAAAATTAAATCTGTTAATGCATTGAATTAAAACCATAAGAAAAATTTCCTTTAAACCGGATTAATGTGCCACTTTCTTTTAGACTAAAATATAGCAGATTGGGGAAATTTTGAATGAATACTTAAAATATCTGTTAAATCATAGTTTAGTATCTTAAGGATTAGAAACAGTTGTAATAGACGGTACCAATTTTTCACTGATATCCCCCAAATTTCTAAAAGTAAAAATTTTTTGGCATCAAATATATTTCTCCTCCTTGTAATCTGTGATTTAGGTCCAAAAACATTTAGGAAGTAAAGTCCAGTGCTGTAAAGAACAATATTGCACAGGAACATTGAATGTTATGTCCGTGAATCAAGGTAAATTGGAAGTGGTCAAACAGGAAGTGGCAAGAGTGAACATCAACATTTTAGGAATCAGTAAACTAAAATGGACCAGAATGGATGAATTTAATTCAGATGACCATTATATCTACTACTGTGGGCAAGAATCCCTTAGAAGAAATGGAGTAGCCCTCAGAGTCAACAAAAGAATCTGAAATGCAGTAGTTGGGCGCAATCTCAAAAATGACAGAACGATCTCTGCTGGATTCCAAGGGATACCATTCAATATCATGGTAATCCAAGTCTATGCCCCAACCACTGATGCCAAAGAAGCTGAAGTTGAACGGTTCTATGAAGACCTACAAGACCTTCTAGAACTAACACCAAAAAAAGATGTCCTTTTCATCCTAGGGGACTCGAATGCAAAAGTAGGAAGTCAAGAGATACCTGGAGTAACAGGCAAGTTTGACCTTAGAGTACAAAATGAAGCAGGGCAAAGGCTAACAGAGTTTTGCCAATGCACTGGTCAGAGCAAACATCCTCTTCCAACAACACAAGAGACGACTCTACACATGGACAGCACCAGATGGTTAATACCAAAATCAGATTGATTATATTCTTTGCAGCCAAAGATAGAAAAGCTCTATACAGTCAGCAAAAATGAGACTGGGAGCTGACTGTGGCTCAGATCATGAACTCTTTATTCCCAAATTGAGTAAACTAAAGAAAACCACTAAACCATTCAGGTATGACCTAAATCAAATCCCTTATGATTATACACTGGAAGTGACAAATAGATTCAAGAGATTAGATCTGATAGATAGAGTGCCTGAAGAACTATGGATGGAGGTTCATGACATTGTACAAGAAGCAGTGATCAAGACCATCCCCAAGAAAAAAAAATACAAAAAGGCAAAATGGTTGTCTGGGGAGGCCTTACAAATAGCTGTGAAAAGAAGAGAAGCGAAAGACAAAGGAGAAAAGGAAGATATAGCCATCTGAATGCTGAGTTCCAATGAATAGCAAGGAGAGATAAGAAAGCCTTCCTCAGTGATCAATGCAAAGAAATAGAGGAAAACAACAGAATGGGAAAGACTAGAGATCTCTTCAAGAAAATTAGAGTTATCAAGGGAACATTTCATGCAAAGATGGGCACAATAAAAGACAGAAATGATATGGACCTAACAGAAACAGAAGATATCAAGAAGAGGTGGCAAGATTACACAGAAGAACTGTACAAAAAAGATCTTCACTACCAAAATAACCATGATGGTGTGATCACTTACCTAGAACCAGACATCCTGGAATGTGAAGTCAAGTGGGACTTAGAAAGCATCACTACAAACAAAGCTAGTGGAGGCGATGGAATTCCAGCTGAACTATTTCAAATCCTGAAAGATGAGGCTGTGAAAGTGCTGCAATAAATATGCCAGCAAATTTGGAAAACTCAGCAGTAGCCACAGGACTGGAAAAGGTCAGTTTTCATTCCAATCCCAAAGAAAGGCAATGCCAAAGAATGTTCAAACTATGGCACAATTGCACTCATCTCACACGCTAGTAAAGTAATGCTCAAAATTCGTGAAGCTAGGCTTCAGCAGTACTTGAAACGTGAACTTCCAGATGTTCAAGCTGGATTTAGAAAAGGCAGAGGAACCAGAGATCAAATTGCCAATATCCACTGGATCATAGAAAAAGCAAGAGAATTCCAGAAAAACATCTACTTCTTCTTCATTGACAATGCTAAAGCCTTTGACTGTGTGGATCACAACAAACTATGGAAAATTCTTGAAGAGATGGGAATACCAGATCGCCTTACCTGCCTCTTGAGAAATCTGTATGCAGGTCAAGAAGCAACAGTTAGAACCGGACATGAAACAATAGACTGGTTCCAAATTGGAGAAGGAGTATGTCAACCCTGTATATTGTCACCCTGCTTATTTAACTTACGTGCAGAGTACATCATGAGAAATGCTGGGCTGGAAGAAGCACAAGCTGGAATCAAGATTGCTGGGAGAAATATCAATAACCTCAGATATGCAGATGATACCACCCTTATGGCAGAAACCAAAGAGGAACTAAAGAGCCTCTTGATGATAGTGAAAGAGGAGAGTGAAAATGCTGGCTTAAAACTCAACATTCAGAAAACTAAGATCATGGCACCTGTTCCTACCACTTCATGGCAAATAGATGGGGAAACAATGGAAACTGAAAGACTTTATTTTCTTGGTCTCCAAAATCACTGCAGATAGTGACTGCAGCCATGAAATTAAAAGATGCTTGCTCCTTGGAAGAAAAGCTATGACAAACCTAGGCAGCATTTTAAAAAGCAGAGACATTATTTTGCTGACAAAGGTCCATCTGGTCATAGCTATGGTTTTTCCAGTGGTCATGTATGGATGTGATAGTTGGACCATCAAGAAAGCTGAGCTCTGAAGAATTGCTGCTTTTGAACTGTGATGTTGGAGAAGACTCTTGAGAGTCCCTTGGACTGCAAGGAGATCCAGCCAGTCCATCCTAAAAGAGATCAGTCCTGGGTGTTCATTAGAAGAACTGATGCTAAAGCTGAAGCTCCAATACTTTGGCCCCCTGAGGCATAGAACTGACTCCTTGGAAAAGACCCTGATGCAGGGAAAGATTTAAAGTGGGAGGAGAAGGGGACAGCAGAGGATGAGATGGTTGGATGGCATCACGGACTTGATGGACGTGAGTTTAAACATGCTCTGAGAGTTGGTGATGGACAGGGAGGCCTGGCATGCTGCAGTCCACAGGGTCACAAAGAGTCGGACACAACTGAGTGACTGAAGTGTGGTACAGAAATGGCCAAATTTATAGCAACCAGAGTATAAATTTCATAAGAACAAGAGCGTTACTTGAGTCATTCTTACTCAGAGATGTAGCCTCAGTTCCCCAAACAATGCTTTATACCTAGTATTTACTCAGTGGGGTATTATTAAATGAGTAAATATAACCAACCCTTCACCCACCCACACACACAATGTGACTTGCCTTTTAACACCTGGGAGGTTCACAGAGTGAATACAATCTGTCAAATACATATTCTGTCAATTTTTATAAATACATGTGGCTCTTTGGCTTCACTTTAAAATTTATTCTGAATGAAATGTAACTATCAAGGCATTCAGGATTTACCACCCGGTTAGAGGCCACCGTCCTGCACTAGTTCAAGTGCAGCCTGTGCCCCAGGCAAGGCCTGGGAGGACGCACACCTGCATGCAGCTGGCGGGGTGGGTGGGGTCCTCCTCCGATTCTGCATGCTCACATTTCCTAGTTGTGTAGTGGTGTGTATGCCCTGCCTTGACTGTGTCTGATTAAGAAGAAGCCCTGGGCAGTCCTCCTCTCAGGAGTTAGCAGGCCACCCTGAGTCCGTAAGCTGCCAGCCCCAGGTCCACGGCAGGAGAGGGACTCCGTCCTTGAGCTCAGAGGCCAAGCTTCAGCCAGCAGAGGGGTCACTGGAGCCTCCGGGGAGGTTGGACACATCTCTCTGGGTGTGGCCTCTCCCTGGGGTCTCCCTGGGGAGACAGGTTCCAAGGCCCCTGCCAGGGTCTCTGTAGACCGCTCCCTGCCCAGGACTCGCAGTCTCAGCTCCATCCCCTTCCAGCTCTGAGTCCAGTGACAGCACCTCCTGGTTCACCGTGTCCTCCCTCCAACTCAATTAACGACGCTGGGGCGGAGGTGGGGGTCGGGAAGGGAGGCAGGGGGAGGGTAGGGAGGAGAAGGTGAGGCACAGGACGAGCTAGGAGGGGCCCAGCGCAGAGCCGAGGGGGTTCTGAGTCAGGGGACCCCAGGAGAAGCCGGAATCTGCCTGCTGCTGGCGTGCCCAGGGGCTAAGTATAGAAGGGCCCAGATGGGGGTCCTGGGCCAGTGTGCCCCCCACTGATCTGAGCCCCTATCTCAGCCTGGGCAGCTTTGCCAGCTGGGGCCACCCAGCAAAAGGAAAGGACCCTTCTTCATTCCCTGTCTGCGAGGACAGCCGGCTGCTGCTGGGCAGGGCTTCCTGGCCGACCGGGCCTGCCCCAGACGCCACACACCAGGAGGAGGCCTCAGGGCAGAGAGGCTGCGGGCTGGGGCGAGGGGCTCTGGCCGACCTGCTGGAGGAAGCCTCTCCCTTCCAGGGGCCCGGAGGGCAGCCTGACTTGCTGCTGGCAGACAGACTGCACACACAGCACACGAGGGGAGAGGCCAAGCCAGTGACCAGCGACTCCTCCACGGGGAAGAAGGAGCGGACTCGGGTCACTTCTCGCTCACGGTGACCCTGCCGGCGAGGTCTGGAGCCTGAAGCTGGAGGCAGGAGGGAGTCATACCCCGCGGGACAGCACCTGCCTCTGAAGAGCGACCCTGAGCCCAGGATCTGCCTGGTGGCTGGCCTGGGTCCTCCCTGCTGATGACATCCATGTTCAGGGGGAGCCACATGTCTGGGGGGCCCACAGGACCCAGAGACACATCTGGAGGTGACTGCCCCAAGCTGCAGAGGGCACAAGGCCCGCGGACACACGACGCAGGGGGAACTCGTCAGTGAGGACAGGCTTCTTCCCCCAGCCACTAGAAGGGTGGGTGCTCCCTCGGACCCCCAGGGGTGGTCCTCCACCCTTCGGAGCCCATGGGGAATGGTCCTACCCCTCGGACCCTGTGGGGGATGGTCCTATTCCTCAGACACCCACGGGGGATGCTCCTACCTTCTCAGACCCCACGGGGGAAGGTCCTCCACCATTGGACCCCACGAGGGGTGGTCCTCCACCCTTTGGAGCCCATGGGGGATGGTCCTACCCCTCGGACCCTCAGCCACTAGAAGGATAGGTGCTCCCTTGGACCCCGCAGGGGATGGTCCTCCACCCTTCGGAGCCCATGGGGGAAGGTCCTACCTTCTCAGACCCCGTGGGGGAAGGTCCTACCTTCTCAGACCCCATGGGGGAAGGTCCTACCTTCTCAGACCCCACGGGGGAATGTCCTCCACCATTGGACCCCACGAGGGGTGGTCCTCCACCCTTTGGAGCCCATGGGGGATGGTCCTACCCCTGGGACCCCATGGGGGAAGCTGTTACCTCCTCAGACCCTGCAGGCAACGATCCTCTAGCTTCGGACCTGGCAGGAGACGATAGTACCTCCTTGGACCCCACGGGAGATGGTCCTCCACCCGAGGGCGCTGCGGGGGATGGTCCTACCTCCTCAGACCCAGGGGGGAATGGCCCCCTCAGACCCCTGGGGATGGTCCTAGCCCTCGGACCACACAGGTGAAGGTCATACCTCCTTGGACCCCACGGGGACGGTCCTTCCCCCTCGGGCCCTGTGGGAGATGGTCCTCCTCCCTCAGAACCCCCAGGGGGGCTGTCCCACTCCCCCAAGGCATGGACAGGAAGGATTCCCCTGTTTTCCTGTGTAGGAGTACTTCCGATGTGTCGAAGATGCAGAACGTGGTCTGTGCAGAGCATCCGGGTCAGGAGCGACTGGTCCCAAGGGAGGAAAGTGTCTCCTGTCAGCAGCGGCTCATGGAGGTGTCCAGGATGGGTGTCCTGAGAAGGCGGAAGGGCTCAGAAGGAGAGGAGTGGGCTGGGGCGAGTCTGAGGGGCTGGGGTGAGAGGAAGGGGCTGGGATGACATAAGGAGACTGCAGTGAGACTGAGGGGCTGGGGTCAGAGAGAGGGGCTGGCAGGCTGGCTTCCGAGCTTCCCCCACAGCCGGCGTTACCCCTCCACTCCCGCTGCACTCACCGTGAGGAGGCTCAGAGACAACAGGTGACCTCAGGTCCCAGGTGAACACAGGGTGATGGGTCTGGAGGAGAAGTAGGGGTAAAGGCCCATGCAGGGGAAGACCACTTCTAGAAGGAACCACATGTGATGCCTGTGTATACACTAGGGTCTGGGCCCCAAGCTCAGACGTTGGAGAGACTTACAGCAACCATGAGCACACGGAGCCCTGGCTGACTATGGACAAGGCCTCCCGAGCGTGCATTCGGGCACTGGTCCTGACCAGCTGTGTGACCTGGGCCAGCCAGCGAGCTGCTCTAGGCATCAGCTTTCTCAGCAGTAAGGAGGTGATGGCTGAGCCCTCATGCCATAGGCTTGCTCTGAGGGTTAATAAGACAGTGTGTGCAAGGGCTGAGGACATGGCACGGCACATCAACTATACAGTAAGGGTCAGCGACACGAAGTTCTTGCTCCCCAGGAAAGTTAGATCATGAGGCATCAAGACATAAAGGCTCCGTTTCTCACTAAGTGCTGCTGGCGGCCTGGCCCCGCTTTCTAGCAAACCAAGCAGCCACAGAGGCGTAATTTGAGGTTTGCTGAGCCTCTGTTCTATAGCAAAGCTCACCACTGAATGTGGAAATTCAGAGACCAATGTTGCCAAAAGGAGAGCTCATCATTCCTTGAAATGGCAACCATTTCCTGCTCACTAACGTGGGGCTTTCAGAAAATTCCCTGTGAGACCCAGGGCCCTGATTTCTCAAATTCCTCCTCCACTTGGGCACTTGGCCGCCTAGCTCGTCAATCAGCACCACCAAGTCCAGATCCTGTGATGCAAGAACGTCTCTTGGTTCCCCTGAGAGTCAGAGAGAAACAGAAAGTCATTTTTTCATATGAAATTCTTTTCTTTTTTGAGCTCCTTTCCTAGCTCTGGCATCGTGTTGGGTGCAGGTAATATAGACCAAGGCGTAGGTCATGTCACAGTGAGGCTCTCACAGGCAATGCGAGAGGCAGGGGTGAACTCATGAAAGTGTCTGGGGTTCACAGGCCTCAGGCCTGAGGGACAGAGGGGGCGCCGGAGCTTCACCCAGCATGGGGGCGCCGGAGCGTCTTCCGGAAGGAGGTGTTGCAAAGGCCCAGGGGAAGGGGCACCTGAATTCAAACCAGGAGAGTACACGAGGCCGGAGGCAGCTTCACGGGGCCAGAGGGGAGAGCGAGCGCTGAAGGGCAGAGGCGAACGAGGGGCAGACAGGCCACAAGGGGCTTCACGGACTCGCTAGGCTGGGGAACGGGCAGCCATGGAGACCCCAGGGTTGAGAGGAGGCCTGTCGCGTCTGCATCACACATGCCTGGGACAGCCGCAGGGGGGACCTGGTGAGACAGCAGGTCGGGAGGGCAGGGGGCAAAGGGAGGTGGTGACAGGCGGCTGAAGTCACCCCGGGGGCGGGGAGGCAGGGGTGGGAGCTTCGAGGTCCAGGTGGCGGGGCCACCCCGAGGCTGAGTCCAGTTCAGTTCCGTCACTCAGTCGTGTCTGACCCTGCGACCCCATGGGCTACAGCGCACCAGGCCTCCCTGTCCACCACCAACTTCCAGAGCTTACTCAAACTTCTGTCCATTGAGTCAGTGATGCCATCCAACCATCTCATCCTCTGTCATTCTATTCTCCTCCTGACTTCAATCTTTCCCAGCATCAGAGTCTTTTCCAAGGAGTCACTTCTTCACATCAGGTGGCCAAAGTATTGGAGTTTCAGCTTCAGCATCAGTCCTTCCAGTGAATATTCAGGACTGATTTCCTTTAGGATGGACTGGTAGGATCTTGTTGCAGTCCAAGGGACTCTCAAGAGTCTTCTCCAACACCACAGTTCAAAAGCATCAATTCTTCGTCGCTCAGCTTTCTTTATGGTCCAACTCTCACATCTATACATGACTACTGGAAAAACCACAGCTTTGACTAGATGGACCTTTGTTGGCAAAGTAATGTCTCTGCTTTTTAATATGCTGTCTAGGTTGGTCATAACTTTTCTTCCAAGAAGAAAGTGTCTATTAATTTGATGGCTGCAGTCAACATTTGCAGTGATTTTGGAGACCAAGAAAATAAAGCCTGTCACTGTTTCCATTGTTTCCTCATCTATTTGCCATGAAGTGATGGGAACAGATGCTATGATCTTAGTTTTCTGAATATTGAGCTTTAAGGAAACTTTTTCACTCTCCTCTTTCACTTTCATCAAGAGGCTCTTTTGTTCTTTGCTTCCTGCCATAAGGGTGGTGTTATCTGCGTATCTGAGGTTATTGATATTTCTCCTGGCAATCTTGATAAGCTTCTCAAAAGCACCAAGGCCCCAGGGCCCCAGGGTGAACACAGCACCTGCGTGGCCACAGGTACCATTCCATCAGTGGATACCTGGCCTCCTTCCCATGAAGACCTGCCCTCCCACTGGGCTTGCCTTGGGCCATAACTGCATCCCACTGAGCCCAAGTCCTGAGTCTCAAACTGCCTGGGCTTTGGGATCCTTGCCCATGACCTGTGACCGTCCCCCACCTGGGCGTTCGGTTCTCGGTCTCCACATACTCCTGCCAGCACTTCAGGGCTCCGCTGGTGTCCTCTGCACAAAGGCCTTGTCTGCCCCGGTCCTTAACCGAACCCTCCCTCCTGTGCACCCACAGTAGTGGTCGCCTCCACCTCAGGACACTCAGGGCGGCTGCAGAGAGCTACTTGGCATTTTGCTACTTGTTCTCTGTTCAGCTTCCTCTAGACTGTGGTCCCCGCAGGGCAGGGCCCCAAGCCGGGCCCCGTGCTGGCCTCCAGCAGATCCCAGAACCACTTGTGTGGCATCGAAGGCCAGACACAGTGAGAGGGAAGGGGGGCTTCCAGGCTCTGGGGCTGAGGGGCGTGTGCCATCCAGCCCAGGCGGGACAAGGGGAGAGGCACTTACAGCTGTCCTGTCCAGCCCCACAGCTGCATCCACAAGGACCCAGCCCCACCCTCCCAAACTGCCGTCTTCGCTGAGGCCCATGCTGGACACACGTCATATGCAGCTGGGGCCTGGAGGAGTGGGATGAAGAGGAATGTGCCAAGAACCACAGGACTTCCTCCAGGCCTCGAGGGCCTCAGACACAGAGCTTATTGGTTCCCAGGGGGCTCGCAGGTGAGCCCCAGAGGCCAGTTCTCCACCTTGCACTGGCCTCAGCTCTTCCCAGGTCTGCCCTGCACATCACTTCCTCTTCCTGGGGCCCCACTACTCCTGGTCAAAGTCAAGGCCTGGGCTGTGCGCCTCCTCAGGGCTCGACGCAGATGCCTGATCTGCGGTGAGTGAAGGTCTGTCTGTCTGTCTATCTCAGTAACTCCTTCCACGTTTCCAGTGTTTTCAAGGTGCTACTCATTGGTGACAGCAGCTATGCCAGGACAGAGCTGGGCCGATCCCTCCTCCTGGTCCAGCATGGCCCACCATGTCCATCACGTCCACCATGTCCCACCATGTCCCACCTCGTCCACCACATCCACCACATCCACGTACGTCCACCACATCCACCACATCCACGTACGTCCACCATGTCCACCACGTCCACCGCGTCCACCACGTCCACCACGTCCACCACGTCCCACCACGTCCACCACGTCCCACCACGTCCACCACATCCACCACGTCCCACCACGTCCACCACGTCCACCACGTCCCACCACGTCCACCACGTCCACCATGTCCCACCACGTCCACCTTGTCCACCACGTCCACCACGTCCACCATGTCCACCATGTCCCATCACATCCAGCATGTCCCACCACATCCACCACGTCCCACCACGTTCACCACATCCACCACGTCCACCACGTCCCACCACGTCCACCACGTCCCACCGCACCCACCACGTCCACCTTGTCCACCACGTCCACCACGTCCACCTTGTCCACCACGTCCACCACGTCCACCATGTCCACCATGTCCCATCACATCCAGCATGTCCCACCACATCCACCACGTCCCACCACGTCCACCACGTCCCACCACGTCCACCACGTCCCACCACACCCACCACGTCCACCTTGTCCACCACGTCCACCACGTCCACCTTGTCCACCACGTCCACCACGTCCACCATGTCCCACCACATCCAGCATGTCCCACCACATCCACCACGTCCCACCACGTTCACCACATCCACCACATCCACCACATCCCACCACGTCCCATCACGTCCACCACGTCCATCACGTCCAGCATGTCCCACCACGTCCACCACGTCCACCATGTCACCACGTCCACCATGTCCACCACATCCACCACATCCCATCACGTCCAGCATGTCCCATCATGTTCACCACATCCGCCACGTCCACCTCGTCCACCATGTCCACCACGTCCACCACGTCCCACCACGTCCACCATGTCCACCACGTCCACCACGTCCACCATGTCCCACCACGTCCACCACATCCCACCAGATCCACCATGTCCCACCATATCTGTGAGGCTGGACTGATCCTCTGCATACAGTGAGGACCCCACAGCTCAGGGGATGGTTGGGAGTCAATCTGACCCCAGAGCCTGAGCCCTGAATCACCGAGGCCACCACCTTCCCCAGACACCCCACTGAAAGGTCAAAGGAGAACGAATGGGCTGAAGAGATGGAGCCCCACAGGGAGGGTGGGTTCAGGGTTTGCGGTCCTCCCTCTTCCTGGTCTCCTTATCGATGACACAAATGTGAAAATGCATGTGGCCATCTATGCATCTGGCCCCCAGCCTGGAGTATCCCGTACCTGCCCGCGTACCCAGCACGCTGGTGGAGCATGGCCACGAGCAGGGCTGGCTGCTGGGACACAGGGGGCTCTTCTCCACCTCCTCAGAGAGGGAGGAGTTTATTCAACTATACTCCTCAGAGAGGGGAGGGTGCAGCCAGCTTGCTCTGATCTGGCTGAACCAGGCACCGTAGACCCCCCAGGGAGGGAGAGCGGGATGGGGGGCAGGGTGCTGCTGGCTCAGATGGCAGCTGGGACGTGACCTGAAGGACGACCAGCCCCTCCAGGTGACTGGAAGGCTCAGGAGTAAGAGAACACAGCAGTGGTCTGGCTGCAGGTGCTGCTGCCTCCCTGCCAGCATTTGGCTCCACTGGACTGCACCCCCCACCCCCAACCCCGCCACCATCGCGGGCTCCATGCGCCATTGTGGCTGCAGGAGGACTGGGTGGCTGAGCCCAAGGAAAGTGCAGGTGCTAGTCTGGAAGCTGTGAGTCTGGCCGGCGTCTTCCCAGGAGCTGCTGCGTGCACAAGTACAAGGTGGCAGGGCAGGCCGGGGAGGGCATCCGCCCCCACCTGCGGGATCCCTTCGGCCGGACGGCTGCAGAGAGACCGAGGCTGGTATCGGGGACGCACGGATGGTGGGGCCCCCGTCACACCTGCAGGAGGGGCCTCTCTGATGTCCAGCGCTTCTCTTCTCTCTTGGTTCACAAAAGAACACAACAGAGGTTGATTGCACAGCTTGTCGTTCTGTGGATCAAGCAGTGAATATCGACAGTTTACAGAGGTTCTCCGAGCATGAACACCTAGGTTCACCAGGAGCCCCCTGTGACAGAGCGAAGCTCGTGCATATGTTTTATGACACTTTAAAGCTGGCTGTCAGGGGCTAGTAAACACTGACCAGCGAAGCACAGGCTAAACCTCGGGTGATTGTTCTGTGTCCATGTAAATATCCCAGCACTGGTCCAGTGACAAGGTCACTGTCAGCTGCCCGACTTGAGTAGATTTCTGAGCCTCATTCTTCAGCTGCATGATGGGAATAAAAGTAGCAGTGACCCCCCCTCCACCACGGCAGCCAGAGCAGGGCCCCCTTGGCCAGACCCCTGCCCTCCTCTGAGGCTCCACTTTCGGGAACTTGCTTGTTCTGTGATGTGGCAACAGCCTCTGAGCATGCAGCCTGGACGCCCAGTAAATATTTACAGAGTGGCTGAGAGGCGCTCGCCTGGGTGCAGCTGGACTGCTGGAGGTGGGTGGGGGGCCCGCTGGCTGCAAGGACACCCTCCCGACAGGCGGGGCTGGGCCCGCGGGCTCTGCATGCAGATTGCTGGGCGTCCTGCTCGTTCTCTGCAGAACAAACTTGTCAGCCGAATGGAAGGCAGCCCCTCTGCAATTCCTCGGTGGTGAGATGCCCAAAACCCTGGGTCTCCCCCAGCTCCCTGCTAACTGGGTCACCCTGCCCCCACGGGCCCAGCTGACTGACACCAGGTCTGAAGGTCTGCATCCTCATCCAGAGGGGCGGGTGCCATCTCCACATGGTGCCCAACGGCTGCCCCGGGCGCTACACCCAGAGTTGGAGGAATGAGACCCCAGTCTTCTCATGTCCCTCCAGGATGCTCTGCGTGTAGAAGTGTGACTCTGGAGCATGTGGCACTGACATGTGTACCTAGCACCCAAAAGCGCTTGGCCCAGGGCAGTGAGTGCTGGTCATCATGGTGGGTAGTGGTGACCCATGTCCCCGGGAGTCCTGCAGGAAGGCCGCCAGGCCCCACAGGGCCAAGGACAGAGACAAGCCCCTGTGAGCTGGGCATCCTCGGAGGGCCACACCCAGCATCTGAGACCTGAAGGGGACAAAAGAGGGCATCTGGTGCTCTATCACACCCTGGGCAGTGGCTCAGGGCATCCGGTGCCTGCAGGAGACCCGACACTCGGGGAGGGGGTGCAGAACAAGCTGGTACTGATGCAGCAGCTCCTGTGGGCAGGAAGCGGTGGCTGGGGCCAGATTCTCAGGGCCTCTGAGGTCAGGTTTCCCAGAGAAGTGAATGCTGTCCCCTGGGGGCTGTCTTTCCCGCCCCGGTGAGCACAGATAAGGGCCCAGTGTCCTCTGGCCTGCAGGTGGGCATCAGGGAGGAAGCATCTTGCCCAGTTGGTGGCAGAGGAAGGGGGGACCAGAGGCAGGAGGGACTTCAAGGTGAGCGAGGACCCAGAAACGAGTCCTCCTCACCAGGCCTGGGCCCATGAACACCCACATCCACCCTGGAGGGAGGAACCGGCAGGACAAGCCAGGCTGGGATGAGGCAGTTTCCAGGCCTGCCCTCGAGGGCTGGGCCCTGCCCTCTGCTCCAGGTTCAGAGCAAGTGCCTGGGAAAGAGAAGAGAGAGGGCATGGCTCGCCTGCCAACACCTGGCCTCTTCAGGGAGCGCTGCTCCACACCGGTCAAGCCCTCCCGCTGACCCCTGGACAGTCTCTCCCTGATGGTGGCGGTTGCCCTGAGGGGCGGGGGATTGGGCAGGGCCACAGTCCAGGCTTGGGCAGCAGGTGGCTTCAGCAACATCACCTGGGTCCTACCCTCTTCCGTCCTGCATCCTCCACTTTCACTGGAGTTCTGACACCCAGTCTGATCCCCAAGGCTCACCCTGCTCCACAGTGAGGCAACTCACCTTCTCCCAGGCATGTCAGAGGTGAGCAGGGGGTGACGGAGGAGGGGACCATCAGAGGTGGCCTCTGTGATACTGCTCTCCACTTGGGAACCGTAGCCAAAAGGAGGCACTGGGAATAGGAGGACAACTAGACATCACAAGGTTAGGGGCCAGAGAGTCACAAGTCCTCCCCCCAGGGGAAGGGCCGGGTGTACTTGTGACACAGCCATTGGCTCTCCGCGTGAGTCCAGGAAGGAAGGGCCGGGTGTACTTGTGACACAGCCATTGGCTCTCCGACTGAGTCCAGGAAGGAAGGGCCGGGTGTACTGCTGACACAACCATCAGCTCTCCAGGTGAAGCTTGGAAGGAAAGGATGGCCTTTCTCAGGCCTCAGGAGGAGGATGGGACTGCCCTGATCCTAGTGTTGGGAGTTCTTTCTTCTTGGTTGTTATCCACAGCTCTGGCCTCCTGCACCTGCCACCCCTAGGTTGCGTCCTCAAGGAATGGTCAGGCTTTGATCTTGAGACCTTAAAGCAGAGGGAGTGATCTTTCTCTGTAACTCCTCCTGGCCCCTACGTGAGCTGGGAAGACCAGGAGGAATGCCCCTCAGTGGTGGGGCACCTTCCTTCAGTTGGGCTGTCCCATAAGAGGCAAGGGATGGGGTGAATCCCTACATGCAGACTGTACATGCAGGCCCTTGGGACAGACAGAACCCTGTACGGTCTGTAAGACAGACCCTGCAGCGTCGGCTCTGGTGGGACCTACCTGACCTGCTTGCTGGGGGAATTGACTGAGATGGAGAAAGGGGAGAGGCCCCCTAAAGAACCCCTTCTGCCACCAGATTATCCTCTTTCCAGCACCTCTGGCTGCTCCTCTGCCTCCTTATTCAGGAGAGCCAGACCTTGGACATGAGATCATGCCCCCTAGTGCAGGCCCCAGCAGAATGCAGACCCAACTTATTCAAGGCCTTCGACCTTGCTGCAGTGAAGAGAAGGTCACTGAAGCGTGTCTGACTTTTTGTGACCCCACAGACCGTATCCAACTGTAGGCTGCCAGGCTCCTCTGTCCATAGGATTCTCCAGGCAAGTATACTGGAGTGGGTTGCCATTCCCTTCTCCAGGGGATCTTCCCAACCCAGGAATCGAACCAGGGTCTCTTGCATTGAGGGGGATTCTTTGCCATCTGAGCCACCAGGGAAGCCTTTGACCTTGCTAGAGCTGAAGCAAATCAAACACACCAACCTCAGCTTGGACTCTTTTGAGGGAATGATTATTTTAAAGGGTAAGTTCCTCACCCAATCTGCTCCAGACACCCAGAGAAAACTCCAACAACTCACACAATGTCTAACACCTTCTTGGAGGAGCTCTTGGCAGCAGCCACTACCACCATTTATAACCGAGACCAAGAGGAAGAGGAGGCCAATGCTCAGAGAAGGAGAAACAGGAAGGAACGTGGGCAGGCCTGACTATTAGCAGCCTACAAGGACAGAGCCCATCTGGGGAGGCCCAGGCCCGCTGCTGGAGGCCAAGCACTATGTCTGGTTCTCAAGAAGCCTGGCCACTGGGCGAAGGAATATGCCAATAGAGAAAAAGCCCCACTTTGCCCCAAATGCAGGAAAAAGGGCCACTGGGGAGCTACCTGCCCCCAGGTCAAAGGACACAGAAACCAGGGACAATCCCTCTGATGGCCCTGGACTGATGGGGCCCTCTGCTCCAGGTCCCCCTCCCCTTTTAAATCAACATCACTGGGCTGGAGCCAAGGACTAACCTCTGTCACGTGACCGTAGCTTCTCTATCTGATTCCTGGGCCGCCTACCCTGTCCTGACCTTCTCTTGACCCTTCTCCCCCGACTCCTGCCAAGTTACTGATGTCTCCAGTAATTTCTTTAAATTTATCTACTGTTAAGGTATGTATTATAAAGTTCATTTAGACAGGACCATTAATAAGAATCATGTGAGTTCCTCATTTAGCAAGTAATATATATTTTCTTTGCGTTCAATTAATAGTGTAAAAAAACCCATGATACATCAATACATTTAAGATAAATTATTGGGCTGTATTGAGGGGCTGTATATATATTAAAATATGGAATTGCTTTCATGTATTATGTCCTCAGACTGTGATTCAAAGTTTAGACCTTTCCTCCCTGTGGTTGTGTCTTGTTTCCAAACGACATAGGCCTGGGGACACTCGTGCAGCTCTTCTTTGTGGATAGCATGTTGCTGGTGTGAGGACCTGTGCTGACCCTGAGTGGAGGGCAGAGTCAGGGACGAGGGTCCTTGCGTCCTCCTTCTGTCCCCCTGGATCGGGAAGGAGCCCCTCCAACTCTCACAGTGCCCGACGCACTTGCTGTCCAGGGATTTTGGTAAATGGAAGCCCCTCACGATCACCCTGAAGTTCATTTCCAGAATTGTTATGATTTTTAAATGTCTGTCAGCTGTCCTTATGCTTCCTAAATAACCACTATCAATTTAAGTCAAATAATATATGACTGGAACTTCCCTGGTGGTTCAATGGCTAGGAATCCAACTGCCAATGCCGAACATGGGTTCAATTCCTGGCCCAGGAAGATTCTACATGCTATAGAGCAATTAAGCCTGTATGCTGCAATTGCTGAAGCCTGCGAGCCCTGGAGCCCGTGCTCAGCAATGGGAGAAGCCACTGCAACGAGAGGCCATCGCACCTCCACTGGGGAGTAACCTCCACCACTAGAGAAAGCCCCCACACATCCTCGAAGATGCAGTGCAACCCAAAACACTTAAAACAAATTCTAAAAATATATATGCTTGTCATGGAAACTCTAAAACTGAGTGAAGGGGATGGTGACCCTATATGGTGTGGTGGTCCCCGGAATGAAGAACTCTAAAGAGACCAACCCACACACACACTACCCACAAGAATGTCTGCACTCGGGGGAGGCTCTCAAACTGGCCTCTTCAGAAAGAAAATCGTATTTTTAGGTGACTCTTTCTTGACTTTTATTTGGAGAGTGAAACTGTCGCTTCTACGCCCTTCAGCATCTTGAGCCCCTGAGCAGACTCTCCAGTCTGGCTCCGGCTCTCCTCGGGTTGCACACACATCCTAGTTGGAGCGTGGTCGGAGCCCAGCCCCAGCGTGGAAGCGTGGGCGCCGTGAGACCGCAGTGGCCCTGCCTGCCCGGCTCTCCACCCCTGGCCCTCCCGGGGGAATTTCAGGCCTCCCGTGCCCTCAGCCTGCCCTCTCAGCTCCTCCTTCCCACCGGCCTTGACAAGGATCGATCGTATTCAGCTCCTTGCGGCCAGACCCTTGACCTTCCCCACCTGTGAGGGGGCCTTCCTGGAGGATGCGTCCGTGGGTGGAGCTGCTCTCCTCTGCTCCCAACCACTCCAGACCCCGGTGGAGGTGTCATTCCAGTGCTGTGATTTCTGTCCTCGCCAACCCTCCGAAGCTTTCCCATCTCCTAACTTTTCAGCAAATGAGACATATGGAAAGTCTTATTTATCTCAGCCAAATATTTCAATTAAAACGTTCCATTCCAAAAACATGACCCAGAGTTTGGCACCTTTGTGGAGGCACAGAACAGCTGGTTCTCCTCGAGAACCACCAAGAAGCTGCTTCCTGCCACTTTGTCACTGTTAGGAGGTGACAAATGAGCCCAGGCTGTCCCTGCATGAACTAAGCAAGGCTCTGTGGGGGAGGGATGGCCCACAGGGCGCTCCCCACACTGGTGCCCGAGGGGCACCCTCCTGCCACAAGCACCCGGCCTCCCCAAGCTGGTGCTGCTGGGAGCTGTCTCGGCCAGGCACCCACCTGGCCCAGGACGGGGAGGCGAGGGCCTGCTGTTGGCCTGGAAGTCTCTGCGGAAGGGAGAGGAGCTCAGTGTGCAGGGAGAAGGGAGTCAGCAGGGTCCTTTGTGCTGCTGTCCTGGGATGGGCAGGGGCCACTGCCTCAGGCCGGGGCGACGCCCAGTGCTCACGGGGAGGGCTGGGTGGTGGGCAGTAGTCACCTGCGATGTGCAGCAGGCACAGTGCCGGGCTGGGACCAGGGTAGAGGGCAGGGAGCCGGAACGGAAGGTCCCTGGGAGAGCAAGCTTCACAGAAGCGGGACAAGCACCTTCTCCGGGTGGTGAGGGGTGGTGTCAGGGGCCTGTGAGTCATGGGGCCAGGGGTGCTCAGAGAGGACGGGGCCCTGGCGGTGAGGGACTCTGCCCCCAGGCGATGGCTGATGGGTGTGAGGACCCCGGAAGGCTCCCGCCACGCAGCTCCCCCCAACCCTGTGCATGTGGGGGTGGGAGCATAACTCATCTCCCGCTTCGTGGACACCCGGTCATCACAGCCCAAAAACCTGCATGCAAATCACCACCTTTACAAGTCGCATTTTAATTCCTCAGTGAATTTTCTCAAAGCACAACGGCACATTTCATGAGACAAGGATCTGCTCCTTGAATCAACTTGAGAAAGTTATGGAAATAGGGCCACTCTGTGGGCTCTGAGGGGAGCCTCAGGGAAGGCTCGGAACCTGCCTGGAAAATTCCCCCTTCTTCCCTGGTTGGACAGACAACCAAGAGGTGGACCAGATGGAAACACTCGCACTTACGTTTGTAAATTCGGTCTTTGATATATCAGGTTAACCTTTGATAGGTGCCATGAGTTACTTCCTGTCGCCTCCCAAGACGGGGTGGGGGGGGGCATGCCCATTTCCTTCTATTTCCAATTGACGGGCAAAGGATTTTGAATGACGTCAGACACTTTGTTTTTCTAACTTTTTCTATTGAACTAAATTCAGGGTCACAGAGCATTTCCTGGGTGTGAGCAGCTTCCCCAACCAGAGGCAGCCCTAGAATCAGGAGACAGCGCCCTGGAGCCTCACTGTCCACTGAAGGCCCCCAGCATCCCCCAGCCCCACCACGCCTGCCCCTGGAAACTTACTGTTGCCT